TGTTCAGGTACTTTAGGAAGAGGTGGGAATGGGACAGTGGGATGATGGTATACCCTTAGCAGTTATGTTCTTTGGTTTCTGATCGTCTGTGCTGGCAGGAACAGTGCAGACATGACTTCATGTGAGACAAAGGAAGTGAGTGAAGAGCAGTCTTGATTGCAGTCTTCTAGAGCTGAGCCCCAAAACTTTTGCCTTCAGGTCACATTGCAAGCTGCAACTTGGACGAGTGTCATGTACACTAGGCATGAAGAACCAGTGTGGGGCTGGCTGCTGGTAGGCTGATTATACCATGCAATTTGAGAGCTTGGAGATACGTATGCTTCAGCACATGATTACATGTAATAAGCGTAGTTACAGTGTGGAGGGAGAGTGAGGTCAATTTTGAGTATGGATTCATATCCACATTTAGGTGAATCTTCACACAATCTCCGAGCATTTATTGGTGTAATAAGACTACAGGTGATGTGAAAATCTTTTGTTTGACCCAAACCTGTGTGCTTTCAGGTTCTGGAATTCTTTTTTTTTTTTTTTTTTTTTTAATTTTTCTGAATTTAGAGGAATCTTTGTGCTTCATTGCAACATTATGCTTACACGAGCAACTTACTGACTCAGTGCACTTCTCTTTTTCCTGATACTTCTTCAGCACCCATTTAGGTTGCTGTTTGTGTTGTGTGGTTTACAGCTTGGAATTAGTTATTTCTAGCAGCAATTTTATGTTGTCCGTCTTCTTGACTGATAGCAGGTTACTATAAATGTTCCTTGTTAAATGTGTTTATATCATCTTGTGTTGTCTAATCTCATACTTCAAAACAAGTACTTCAAAACAAGTACTGAAACCTGCGAATTTCTTTTAAACCTTTAGCAGCATTCCGTGAGCACCACTGTGTTTAATATCAGACTTTGGGCAATGAAAACCAGCATTCACATCTGCTTTTCCCCACCTTTAAGAACAGAAATAGATGTAGCACAGCTTTTTGCAGCGTCTTTGATCCAGGCCCTTTTCACTGTTTGAAAGCTAGTCCTGATTACTAGAATGTGATCTTCTGACAGAAGGTTTTTTCATTGGACCAGAAGCTTTAAATGCACAGGAAGGCTTTACAGACCCTATACAGCTGGAGCTGAAAAAACCACAAGAATTTATTTTTATGTATTACATCCCTCTGGGAACAGTGCATTGGTGGATATTTATCCCAGACTTGTATTTAGCAGAAGGTCTTCTTAAGCTAATATGCATTAGGAGGTGGCTCCTTCTGTTTCTTTTCCCTGAAATGTGTATTAGCCTTTTCTAGGGCTGCCATAATTCTGCTTTTTAAATACATCTTGCTATTTTGGGTTGTTCGAACCAATGCCAGATGTTCATATCACTAAATGCAGAAACCAGGGGATCTTTCTGCAGGTGTACTTAGACTGAAGGGGACTTGTTCAGCCTCAACAGCCTGCCAGGTGAGCAGTGGGAGCTTGGAGGTGCTGGATTAGATGCTGAGGGTGATGGATAGCTTAGTGAGGATGGAGGTGGGGAAGCTCATGGTGTACACCCTGAGTTGACAGGTTCGGAGTTGCAGGCTAGGGGGCATTAGAGGTTATTACCATGGGACCCATTCCCTGCTCTAGCATCTCTGAGCAAGACCCTTGTTTTCAAGCAGGGATGCATGCAAGGGCCTACTCTCTGTTTCTCAATTCCCTCACACTGTCTTACTCCCCCACTTTCACCATTAGAAACCTACACAGATCATTGCACCCTCAACATCAATGAATCTCTGCTCTGGCTCAGAGTTTTGCTTCTGTGGTTTAAAATGCAAGGGCTGTGGGCTATGGAGAAACATTTAGAGAAAATTTGGGATTAAACGTGGTAGGCTGCTTGCAAAGCTATGCAAACTAATAACACTTTTTTCTAAGATTTAAATCTATGATATAAGTCTACTAAGTCTTGCAAACTTCAGTAGATGCAGAACTAATTAAAAATTACATTTTGGAACAAATGAACGTTTGCTTCTTAAAGTAAAGCATGTGGGGTTTTTTTCTGTGTATTTGGGGAAAGTTCTTTCATTGCCCTAAAATAATTAAAATATTCCTTCTGTTAAGTTATTTTGTGATTGTTTTACTAATAATTCAACACTTCATTTAAAGGCACTTCAAATGAACAAGCAAGTTTGTACTTAAGCATATGTATAAACTTTTGTCCTATATTGCTGACATCCAGTTGTAGTCTATTTTTAAAAGGAAATTCCACTATGGGACCAGTATGAATCCATGTGCATTAAGAGAGCAGTGTTAATGGTTGCAGTTTTTCCCCTTGGATTCCTTTTGCTAATTATAAATCTTTCTCTTTTTCTCTCTTTTTTTTTTTTTTTTAAATGTATAATGCATTATCTGTCTAATCTGAAGGGCTTTAGTGTTTGGTAGTGTATGTTTTAGATGTTTAATGTATGTTTAGATGTTTTAGAATGTATAATTTGAAGATTATACATTCTCCAAAACTCAGTTATGCTTTCAGCTGCTGATGCTCTAAATTTCAGCATTTTTCTTCCAGTTTGGTCATTCTAGAAATAACATCTGAAGCTGTTTCCCACATCACAACTGAACAGTTGTCATGTTTATTTAACCAGCTCCATCTGGCTTCCAGTAACTCCCAAATTTCAGTTTTTCACAGCCATGCATGAATTCCTGCCATGCCCACAGAATGCAGAGAAAAATTTTGGTCAGCCTGGTTTTGTTTGTCGAATGAAGCATCCTTCTTGCAGAAGAGGGGATTAAATATTTTTCATATCATGCCATCCCTCGCAGATTCCTCACCCCTTAGAGGAAAAATTACAGATCTTCTGGCACAGTCCTACTGCTGGCACCTCTGCATGTGGAAAAGATTTTTTGGTTGTTTTTTTGGGCCAGGGTGGAGATGATGAGGTCAATCTGCTGAAGCAGCCAGTGCTGAGCCTTTAGCTACCTGCCAGCATGCCACTGGGGCCAGGAAGGTGTGGAGCACTGCCATCATTCCACAACCCCCGTGGAGAGCTGCTGCCCTTGGCCTTTGGGCAGCTCTTTGGCACACCCGGGTTCAGAGGGTGGCCTCTGCCACTTGAATACCAGCTTTGTCGGCCATGCAGCCTGCAGTCTGTGCTCACCTTGTTAATAACCTCCCTGTCACAATTTAAAAAGGAAATTCTTTCATCTGGTCTTTCTGCAAGAATATCACACTGGACGTGATGTTCTTATGCTTGCGACTAAGAGCTCATACCAGGGCTACAGGCAGGAGATGTCATGTACAGCACAGCCTAAATGCACATTAAGCAGAAAAACATGAATTTAGTAGTGGAGAAGTACTCATAACATAGGAAGTATTTTCTGAGTGTTTGCATTTAAACTTCCCCCCACTGAATGGAGAAAAGATGTGTGTGCTTCGCTGATCTTAAGAATTTCAGATTTTCTTTATCGTGCAAGACACAATCCCCATTTCATTTAACGAATGTAACAACCTTTTTTCCCGAAGTCTGCCAAATCACCTAGTATTTTAACTTGCTTCTAGTAAGAATATACCTTGAGCCTTCATTCTACCTGACTGCCTGGTGAGGGGCTAGAGGTGGGGAGGGGATGAGCCACAGCAGGCAGAGGAACAAAATGCAGCGAGCAGCAACCTTGCTTCCTAGTTGCCTCTGAACCTGCTATGCATGCAGCAAACCCAGATGCATCCACACACAAGGTCATGTTCTAGATCTGAATTGTAGAGATGTGTCAGTGCAATGCGGGCAGGTGCCTCTGAAATGACTTGTTAAACAGGCACAGGAAGGAAAGGACAGAAGATAGTATTACTGCTGATGAACTGCATTTTTACTGTTTAATGGTGTTTACTACGTATGTGGATTCAGCGTGACAAGAAGACAGACCTGCTTTCCCAGCAGATATTGTCCCACTGGAATATATAGAGAGGTTTCTCTGTTAGCCTGCTGGCTAGTGCCACTATAGGGAGTACAGAAAAGCATTCCTTCATGGCAATGTGAAGGGAGTCGTATCAGGGAACTGTAGTCACATACACAGTAAGAAGTGTAGTCTGAAAGGAGAGTTACAACATTATAAATAGTTAAAGGAACAATGAACTTAAGAGTGATCATAAGGGATGTGAAAGTGTCCTATTACTAACATCACTGTGAGAAGATAAAAACTGGTCAGATTGGGTTTAGTTTTATGAGTAAAATATGTATGCAATATTTAAGGCAAAGCATTTGCTTTATGGGGAATTGAGTCCAATAAAATTAATGTCTTAAGTTATATCTTGGTGTTCTGTCATTGTAAGTCTGCTTTGGGTAGGTCTGGTTTAGGTGATACTTCCATTCTGTAGGATGCATGTGTTTTGATTAGGTATTTGAAGGAGAACTGTTGACTCTTTTGTTCTGTTTTTATTTCTAGCTTTTACAAGACTGTGTTAGGTCTACCTGGATATTTGTGACTTTGAAATAAACTTTCAGATTCTCTAGTTCTCAATAATTAATTTTTGGTATCTAGTGTAAAAGCAGGACAGCGTGTTGGCAAGATTCTGCATATTCAGATCTCCTTTGAAGTTTCACAAAGATTGGGAAAAGTGATGCTTCACAAAGTCCGGTTTCTTAATGAGGTCACTTTTCTAGCATTTTGTAGGCTTAATTTGATCTAATTAGTTTTCTAGTACTTTCATTTTTTTCCCCAGTAGAGGTATATTTATCAGATATTCTCTCAAGGACACCATCTGATTTTTAAGATTGTGAAAATAGGCATAGTTTACTAACTTTTGCAAGCTAGAGCCTTGAAAAAGTGTGGTGGTTTTTAAACAACATTCACTGTTCTGTAATTTTTTTCATATGAAAAAGCTTTTATTTTATTTCTTTTCATTCATACATATATATACACACATATAAATACATTAGAATGAGCCTTATACAAATCCTTCTTGTTATTAAATCACTTGTTAAAGTACAGTAGTTGAGTCTACATTGTCCTCACCCTTCAACTATTTTGTTTTGTTCTTTACACAGGAGCCCTTACCAAAGTAAAGGAGAGTAAGCGGCATGTGGAAGAGGGGAAGATGGAGCTCCAAAAAGCTGAGGGCATTCAAGAACGCTGTAACATTATTTCTTTTGCGACCCTAGCAGAAATTAATCATTTCCACAAAATCCGTGTGAGGGACTTTAAATCACAGATGCAGCATTTCTTGCAACAGCAAATACTCTTTTTTCAAAAAGTGACACAAAAGCTAGAAGAAGCTCTTCACAAGTATGACAGTGTTTAATCTCTGAACTTTGGTTTGTGGACTTCCCTCAGCATGAACGTGACCCAGGCAGCAGAGCAAATGCTGCTGCTGAAGAACTGTTGCCAGTGGCATTCGGTGGTACAAGGATGGTTTTGTGCTCACCTGGAACACCGGTTTAATCTCCAATTATGTAGAAAGGAAACAGTTATAGGGCTATGTAGTAGAAACAGTACCACGCATTGTAACTAAGTTATACTGTGTATGCCTACACTACCATTGTAACTTTTTTGAAATAATGAGTATACTATTTGCCTTATTGCTTTTTAAAATATGGTATTTTAGTGCATACTTTGTAGACCTCAAAACCCTTTGGGTCTTTAAGGAAGTTGGCTAGATAAAAGCCTGCTTCAGATGCCTTTTCACTTTCCTAGATTTGGATTTCCTAAATTCAAATGATTCTCTGTTTACAGACTCCTACTAGAGCAGCTATGTGATTCTGTGCCTTTAGACTCTACTCTATTTTTCCTTTTCTAGTAAGTCACATTTTTATGATTGAATGAATGAAGGGTTGATGCCTATGACAAGAACCGATTATAAAATCTCACAGTGACTGGAAAAAAAATCAGCTGCCATCGAGTTTGCACAGCAAGTACTGTCTTATGACAAGTGTTGGCTCAGAAAGGAGAACTTAAATCTATTCACTTTCCCTGAAAATGGAGACTACTTGTTACATGTAGTAGAATGTTAAGCACATATACAAAAATACACCACTTAATTCCCTTTCTGAAATGAATAATACAGTGAGGGGTTTTTGGGGTTTTTTTAGTATACAGCATTACTGTGAGTGGGTATTTGAAGAGCTAGCCTAATAAAAATTAGGTGTATTAAGGGGATATGAATGCAAGCAATGTTGCATGAACATTTTTAAGTTTCAAATGATCTGCTCATTGTTCAGTTGCTGATTCAGTTTAACTTCAGACTTGCATCTACATTGCCAGTTGTCTGAGTTGAAACTCCACTGTGATTCATTAGTTTACTAAGTTACAAATTTTCAGGGATGTTCAGTAATATAAATGACCTGAAATAAGTCTTGGCTGAACTGACTTGGAAAACAGGTGGCATTTTTATGTTTGTAACACTCAAGAATTAACAATTGTCTTAATTTTTGTATAACTATTTTTGACAAGCAGGGTGCATTTATATATACGTAAACACTATCTTTTAAAGATTTTTCTGGCTTATTTCCCTTTAATTTTGTGTGTTTCCTACCTATTGGTTTCTTACTTATAGGTCAGTATGAAAGAGGGTTTTTATTTATCCTATCTTTTTTCTCCTAAGCAAAAATAACAAAACCTTCAAGGAAGCAAAATGTTTACTTTTTTGTTTTTAATTAAATTAGTAAGACAGCTTAGACAAATGAAAGCCTGGAAAAGGAAGTTAAGCAACAGTTACATTTAAGTACAAATCATTCCTCACCTATGCAGCAGAAACATGCGGTTCTTTCGCTGGATTATATGAGTTTCTGTAGCTTAACTCCACACCTCTGTTTTAAAGGAATAAATGTATGAATGTAGTTTTGGTTTTAGGATTCATCCCCAACTGCTTGGATGTTGCGATTTTGCGCAGTTTGTGTTTGGCAATGCTTCTAGTACATACTCAAAGACGTAAAATACAGAATAATGAAGAGGAAAAAAACAGCATTTGTAAAAGAAAGGACAATCAGTGAAGAAAGACTCCATTTCTAGCTATTAAATGAGTGCTGCAAACAGCAAGGTTGACCATAAAATAAGGACCATAATCATAGGGCTCGATTTGCTCTTTATTTTCCTCATGGTGTCTCGTTCTATTTTCAAAACTCATCACTTCCCCTAACAGCTCTTTCCAGCAGTACTCCAGCTTCCCATATGGTCCCATATGTCTTTTAATTATGTGAGATAGTGATGAGCTAGGTTTGAGCTGAGTTCCATGGCTTACGTTTGCTTAAGCCAGATATGGTTTTATTAAATGTCTTTGCAGTAATTACATCAGACTACAATCAAATTAATTCTATGTGGAGGTATTAAGACCTGTTCAGAAACTGATCTTTGTCCAGTTTACGTATTCTAGTGTTAATGACATGTACATGTCCAGGAGGAAATAAAACTGTGATATGTATACATACAACATTATCAGACAGGTACAGTTTTCCCAAATAAACTGTCATGGCCTTCACCGTACTCTCTTATTTGTGAATTTTTGGGGTAGGTGGTTAAGTTTTGGGGAAGGTGGTTAAATAGGTTAAATTTGATACAACAACAAAGCTTAACTGGAATCCTGGATCTGAATTGTTGCAGTATGCAGAAAGGTTCAAATCTCTATCTGTATTAGTGTCTTCCCTTTTTCCTCACTCAGAGTTGGAGTTAAACTGATATGGGGAGCCTGAACTCCATTAATGCTTACTGCACTATGAGAGAACTGTGGTTTTAATTTTATTTGGTAAAGTATGACACTGAGCACTCATGACTGATGGACTGCTGGATGGTGTGGTCTGAGATCCAAATGCACTCTGCGCTGAAGTGAATGTGTATTGTGTGGGACTGTAGAAGCATCAGAGGAAATCTAACAGAATCCTTTTAAATAAATATGGAGGAAAGCAAATTAGCTCTATAGCACAATATTAAATGCCTTTGTTTTATTCTATTCCTGTACTTTGTTTTTGATGCATCACAATTTCTGCATTGACAAATAGTATTCGGTATACTTGTTGGGAGTTAGAGAGGTTGAATTGAAAGCTGCAAGAAGATCCATCAAGGTACTGGTTGTTGTCTGAGACTTGCAGAGAAGACAGCTGATTCTGTTCATAACTTGTGCATCTTTTCTAGTTTCTCTCTGCCAGATTCAAGGTCCAATGTCACGGTACATTTCATTTAGAAGTGTTGTAACACTCAGCTTGGAGACATTAGTAGAAAACTTATGTGGTGACGAAACATCCAAGGCAAGCACCAACAAAAGCTGGGAAAAAAAAAATCAAAAGACTATGTTGGGTATAAAATTGAAATGTTTTTAGAAAATGTTAATAAACTGCCTCCACTGAAAATACCTACGTTATTTGGTGAGGCACAGTTATCTTTTTGGTGAATTACAACACCCTGTTTGCAGTAGCTTCTTAACTTCGTCAGACCTTCACTATTCCAGCTGACATCTTCCATGCTTCTTGTCTGCTCCAGACTGAATTCTTCTGGGAAACTTCAGTGAAAGTTGTACCGCTGTTTCTCAGAAGGAGATAATAAAAATAAAATAGGGTTTTTTTCTCCTAAAATTCTCTAAACAGTTTGGCTGGAAAGCTTTAGGTCTTTCATATTTTGGAGCGAGGACTTGACATTTGGCAGACATGTTGCCTTTTGCATCCTCACATATGCCTGCTGCACTGCCTGTGAAAAATTTGTCCAAATATTTCCGAGTTAAACTAAGGTTTCTCCACACCCTACTGTGCTCAAGTTTGATGGATAAATTTTCCGTAGCTCCCCTTTGATCCAAGCAATCTTGGTTCTCACCTGGGTGAGCAGCAGCTAAGTGAGACTTTCTCGACAACTGTTTTTTCTCTCATCCAGAAGACTGAGCCTCCCAGACCAGAAGCTGAGCAAAGAAGCAGTTGATAGGACCTGGCATGGCTGCTATTTGAGCATGGCCACAGGAGGAGAGAAGCAGCAGCCTGAAACACCAGATTGAAGTTGGGCCTGGTAGCTACAGCAAGGTGGAGGTCAGAGATAGTCAGGGAGGAACACATGGGGCCAGAGATCAGAAAAGGGTAAGGACCAAAAGCCCTGTGACTTAAAAAGCCTGTTCCTCCAGTCTCTGATTATACCTTGTGCTTCCAAAGCGTTCATGGCCTTTTGCTATTACTAAATAGCTGTAATGAGGAGGCACAAAATGGGTAACTTGAGTTCTGGTAGTGTTCTCTTAATAGAAATTACTTCCTTTGCTTGATAGTCAAATGTCTGATATGGCAGTTTAAAAGTTTAACTCTGTTGATGTACTATAGGCTTTGGGGCTGAAGGAGGTGGTGTAATGCAGTCTCTGTGAAGCAGCACTGTGGGTGTTGGTACAGCTCCATATGTTGTGTTATCTGTGTTTTTTACTTGGGAAGGGAAGCAGGAATCAGTTTAGGAAACTGTATTAAAGAAAGCTAAGATTGATCATTCAGTAAAAAAGTTAGGAAATCTCAGAATTAAAGTTGCCTGTGTAAGTACACAAAATAAATAATTCGCATGAAAGACGTGCTCTCCATTTTGTGTAGGCTTGAGTTTCAACCCAGGACTTACTCTGAAAAAAGCCCTGGGCATTCACAGTTTTCGCTGAAGGTTATGGACATTGTGCTTTGAATAGAGAAAATGCTACAAAATGCAAAGTTCTCTGGAAAAAAAAATAATCAAGAATTCATTTCTTTAGGTAGACCACCACAAACTGGAGGACATTTGCAGTCTGTCAGCTGCAAATAGAAAATAATAAACTGAGCTCATTTTGCTGGAATGTTGCAAATATAAACTAAAGTTTTCAGAGATTGCTTTATTAAGCTTTAAAAAAACCACACTCAAACCCTCCTAAGGAAATTAATACTTAGTCTTCAGAATGAGGTGTGAATATTATTTGGGAAATAAGGTTAGGGTCATGTGTAGAACAGCGGGATAAAATAAGCCTCTAGAGGAATCTCAGGTACTCTTCATTGAGTGGATGGAAGGAGAAAGACCTTCCCAGAAAAATCATATGCAATTGTGTCTTTGGAGCCCATTTTTGATGTATATTCAAAGAGAAGCTGAATTAGTCACATGGGTTACCTTACTTCTACATTTCTTAAGTTTGGAGATGCTGGTTTTGTGATTTCAGTCATTTCTCAGTGTAACACAGCGCAGTGTAGTACATGCTATACATAGAAACATAAATTCTGTGTAACATATACAAGTAATGTAACTTCAGTATACTTCAGACTCATGCAGTTAGCAGCAGAGCTCAGGCATACACTGAGTTAATACTAATGACTTTTAGATAAAGTAAAACTTAATTTTCTGAAGTTAAAAGATGTCTCCCATACAAGCTGTCTGATAGATTTGCTGCTTGGCAACTCCATTTAAAACTAAGCGCTTAATTTGGTTCCAATTTGAAATCAAGGGGAAATTTTTTTCCTTGGCTCCACTGGGAAGACTATCAGGCTCTGCAAGTCAGAATTACATCTCTAGGAATCCAGAGTATTCCCCTCCTTTGCTGATAAAATTGAACCTAGCCTACAGAATTTTGAAGCTGCCTGTCAAAAAGCTCTTTCCTGTAATTTCAATAAAAATACACTCCTGGTGGTTTAGGGAATATGACATTATCATTTGAAACAAAAAAAAAATCGGAAGGAACATATGGGGGATTTACTGGTTTTAATTTTAAAAGACATTTCCAAGGAACATGCAAACATTCTGTGAGAAGATAAGATCAGGAGGTTTTAATTCTTTCTTCTCTTTTAATCCCTATAATTGACAGTAACAGCTGAGTTTTTATTGACAATGCTTCACAGAGGAGCATAACATAAATACAC